TGTGGGGAGTGCGTGGCACAAATTTATAAACTTCTAGCAGAAGGTTCTTTACTCAGTACTGTGTTCATGTTAAAAAATATGACTCCAGAGGGCAAAAAAATCTGTGTGGTCTGTTTTCCTGGAATGTAAATTTTACCTGGAGACCTTTTCTTCCAGAAAATCACATATTCCATTATGTGGGCTTTTTGTAAATGCTTATTGAATTAAAAGAGCTTTTGAAGAAGATCATCCCATAAATGGGTGAAGACTCAAAACACTCAAAAGAGAGATTTTTATTCCCTGACGTAACTCTGTATTTTAAAGCAAAGAGATGTAGAGAAAAATTTATATTATCAAAGCAGCTGGTGGAAGAATTACTTTTGAACCAGTTTATCTTCCCCAGAGGTACATCTGAGAGCTACAGTTGAAAACCTGGCAGTTATTCATAATAACTCCTGAAAGGGGTGCACACGTAGAGTAGTAATTAGGTTTCAGTATTAAGAAAGTGTTAAGGCAATTGATTTTGAGGACAGAAGGAAGCATGGGATGAATTCAGTGTTACATGCTCTCTTAACACTTGTTTCCTTGTTGTGTCTCCCCAGCCTTATTAAACAGTTGCATAATTTGTTGAGTGTCTGCCCTCTGTTGGGATATGAGCTCTGGGAGGGCAAATCCTACAGCTCTCTTGTTGCACATGACCAAGGTCTAGCACATGAACAGTGTAGGCATTTGACAAATATTTATTGAAGGAATGAAAATGTTCAAGAATAAAAAGCATTTGGAAGTATGGTAAAATGGAGCTGTGCATTTCCAGGAAATTGGAAGGATACTTTCGTATTTTGAATGTGAAAACTAACCACCTTTGTTCTCTGTTGCTTATTAGTGTATGTTGAGGGATTTCACTCTCACCAGGCATATCATTCCTCCTCTTCCTATCCTATCTTGAGTTGAAGAATGTTTCCACTTATCTAAGGGTGAAACTTCTCTTGTGGTTTACCTAATCTGACCTAAGGAAGGCTTAGTTTTAATTGATAGTGTAGCAGCTAGTTTCACATTGTATCATTCTGCTTCAGAAAGTGTTCTGTGAAATATCTTGTTTGGTGTCAAGAATATAATTTTATGATGAATTGGTTTCTGCTATTGTGGTAATTAATTAACTTGGCTGTCAACAATAGCCCAATTACAGGAACTTTGATAACTGTGAATTCAGGTGGAAAAGAAAGGCTTTGTACATCTTGATGGTCGTGCTAAAGAACTGAAATCTGGCCTGCACCCTTACCAGTTCATGCAGTTTGGTTTTGTTTATCCAGTAAGCATTTATTGAGGGCCTGCTCTGGCTCAGACATGGCATTGCAACTGTAAAATTAAGCTAGGCTAGAATTCCTGCCTTCAAGTAACTCAGTTATGTGGCATATGGGCAAGGAAGCAAACAGATATAGTTAATAAATGCAGTTAGGTAAGTTTACTTCCTTGCCCTTGGTATTTGTACTTCTCTGCTTGTGAACACTTAACTGGCATATAACATATACATGTACTCACATCCCAGAAGGTTATACCAAGAGGAAGGATGTTTTAGCCAAGGAAGAGTAAGTAAATTTTTTCAAACACCAGTCTCCTCCTTGAACATCTGTAGTGCCTCCCACATGTTTTTCATGTGTTTGATATCCAGAGTCCTCAGCGAGGATTTCAGCTTCCTTCACTAGACAGTCCATCCTTTTGTCTTATCTCCTCATCTCTTGTTTATTATGAATAAAGTCTAGCAAGGAAACATGTTTGTCATCACAACCTTCTTGTTCTTGTCTCACTGCTCGAATTCTCCAGTCTTCTCTCACCACCTGTCTGACTTGTCAGCAGATGTAAATGACAATATTCATGGAAATGGCATCTCTTTGCCCACTGAGTCATGTTCTTTGTGGGTACAGTTCTTAAAGTCTTGTATTGATAAAAAGTACTTTTGTTGTTCAGTCATTAAGTTGTGTCTTAATTGTCATAAGTTTCGACTCTTGTAACCCCATGGACTGCAGCACCCCAGACTTCCCTGTCCTCCACTATCTCCCCGAGTGCTCAGATTCATGTCCATTGAGTCAGTGATGCCATCCAACCATCTCAGCCTCTGTCACCCTCCTCTTTTGCCTTCAATATTTCCCAGCAACAGGATCTTTTCTAGTGAGTCGGATCTTCGAGTCAGGTGAGCAAAGTATTGGAGCTTCAGCTTCGCATCAGTCTTTCCAATGAATATTCAGGGTTGATTTCCTTTGGGATTGACTTGTTTGATCTTGTAGTCCAAGGGACTCTCAACAATCTTCTCTAGCACAATTGGAAAGCATCAGTTCTTTGATGCTCAGCCTTCTTTATGGTCCAACTCTCATATCCGTACACGACTACTTCAAAAACCATATCTTTGACTGTATGGTGCTTTGTCAGCAAAGTAATGTCTCTGCTTTTTAATACACTGTCTAGATTTGTCATAGCTTTAGTTCTAAGGAGCAAGCGTTTTTTAAATTCCTGGCTACAGTCACCGTCCGCAGTGATTTTGGAAGTCTGTCAAGACTGTCTTGACAAGCAAGAAGTCTGTCACTGTTTTCACTTTTTCTCCAACTATTTGCCATGAAATGAAAGGACTGGATGCCATGATCTTAGCTTTTTGAATGTTGAATTTTAAGCCAGCATTTTCACTCACCTGTTTCACCTTCAGCAAGAGGCTCTTCAGTTCTTCTTCACTTTCTGCCATTAGGGTGGTGTCATCTGCATATCTGAGGTTGTTGGTATTTCTCCCTGCATTCTTGATTCCAACTTGTGATTTCGCATGATGTACTCTACATAGAAGTTAAATAAGCAGAGTGACAATATACAGCCTTGACATACTCCTTTTCCAATTTGGAACCAGTCCGTTGTTCCATGTCTAGTTCTAATTGTTGCTTCTTGACCTGCATACAGGTTTCTCTGGAGGCAGTTAAGGTGGTCTGGTATTCCCAACTCTTTAAGAATTTTCCAGTTTATTGTAATCTACCTGTCAAAGGCTTTAATGTAGTCAACGAAGGAGAACTAGATGTTTTTTCTGTAATTTCCTTGCTTTCTCTATGATCCAGTGATTATTGGTAGTTTGACCTCTGATTCCTCTGCCTTTTCTAAATCTAGCTTATACATCTGGAAGTTCTCGGTTCATGTACTGCTGAAACCTAGCTTGAAGGATTTTGAGCATTACTTGGCTAGCATGTGAAATGAGTACAGTTGTTCAGTAGTTTGAACGTTCTTTGGCATTGCACTTCTTTGGGATTGGAGTGAAAACTGACCTTTTCCAGTCTGTGGCCACTGCTGAGTTTTCTAAATTTGCTGACATATTGAGTGCAGCACTTTAACATCTTCATCTTTTAGGATTTGAAATAGCTTGGCTGGAATTCTGTCACCTCCACTAGCTTTGTAATTCTTCCTAAGAGCCATTTGACTTCACAGTCTAGGATGTCTGGTGCTAGGTGAGTGACCACACCGTTGTGGTTATCTGAATCATTAATACCTTTTTTGTGCAGTTTTTCTGTGTAATCTTTTCACATCTTCTTAGTCTCTTCTGCTTCTGTTAGGTCCTTGCCATCTCTGTCATTGTGCCCATCCTTGCGTGACCCATTTTGTCAGAACCTGCTCTGTGGCCTGTCTGTCTTGGGTGGCCTTGGATGGCGTGGCTCATACCTTCACTGAGTTACACAAGCCCCTTTGCCACAACAAGGCTGTGATCCATGGAAAGTACTTTTAGGAACTTTAAATTTCTGTCCTAGGGTTAATATAATGCCTCCCCTTTTTTCATTTTCAGTTAGATTTGGTGTTTTTCTTTCTTAGTAGATTATTACTAGGACAGTGCCTTGCATTTAGAGAATACCTTGTCTTTGCTCGCAGTGCGGTGTTTGAAGTCACTATCAGGAAGTTAGGGCTTCACTGATAGCTCAGCTGGTAAAGAATCCACCTGCAGTGCAGGAGATCCGGGTTCAATTCCTGGGTTGGGAAGATCCCCTGGAGTAGGCATGGGCTACCCCACTCCAGTATTCTGGGGCTTCTCTGATGGCTCAGCTGGTAAAGAATTTACCTGCAATGAGGGAGACCTGGGTTTGATCCCTGGGTTGGGAAGACCACTGGAGAAGGGAACGGCTACCCACTCCAGTATTCTGAGCACTAAGCTGATGATGTGGCTTGTCTTTCAGCTGAGGAATTGGTGGAAGTGGCATTCATGTTTGTTTTCACCAGAGCAGTGGCCCTCAGACTTGAGAGTGTTTCAGAATCACCTGGAACATTTGTTAAAAGACAGATTGCTGACTCCACCCCTCAGGCTGTCTGATTCTGTATATTAAGGGTAGGGTGCAAGAGTTTGCACTCAGTTTGGCAGCTGCATTTTGAGAAGCACCTCATCAAAGGAATATTCCATTGTATTGAAGAGCAGTTAATAAACCAAGAAATGAATGTAAAGAAGTAAGAAGCTGTATTATTGTAATGTTCATGTGTTAGCTCTCAAGCATCAGGTAGTCTTGATTTTGTGGATAGGGGCCTCAGGGTATCTCTTATACTAGAAAAGAGGATGGTGTAGTGCTTTCAGTATTGGATATTAGTTTTCTATTGCTGGATAACAAATTACCAGAGATTTGGTGGTATAAAACAACACACATTTATTGTCTCCCACTTTTCTGTGAGTCAGGGCACCAGTGACTTGGCTTCTCTGCATACGTGTCACCAGCCTGCCATGCAAGTGTCATCGGCGCTGTGTTTTCGTCTGGAGTTTGGGGTCCTCGTCCAAGCTCATGTGGTTGTTCGCAGAATTTAGTTCTTTCTAATCATTGGTCTAAGGCTCTTGGCCTCTAGAAGTTGCCCACTTTTTTGGCCACATGGCCATCACCATAGGCACTTCATATCATTGCTGTTTGCTTCTTTAAGGTCAACAGGAAACTCTTCTTCAGACTGTTAAAATGGAGTCCTAGGTAATGAACTATGTTATGGAAATGGCATCTCATCACCATTGCGTATAATGTTTTCGTGGGACTTCCCTGGTGGTCCAGTGGTTAAGACTCTGCACTCACAATGCAGAGGGTCTTGGTTCTATCCCTGGTCAGGGAACTAAGATCCCAAATGCCTCTCAGCATGCTCCCCCCCAAAAGTTATAATATTCTCTCAATCAAGGCAGTGACATCAGTCACCTTCACTGTATTCTGTCAATGAGAAGCAAGTCACAGGTTCCACCATCAAGGGAGTGAATGAACAGTGAAGGGGAAGGGATTGATTATTTGTATAATTTGTATAAAGAGTTTGACTTATTGGGGATTAATTACCTTAGAATATATCTGCTACCAACTGGAAGACAGAAAATATTGGAGGACATTATGTTAGTAACAATTTTAGTATATTGGATCTATCAATAAGTAGCCCATGATTGTGTTTGGGCCAGGAGAGGATAGTCTGGTTTAAAACAAAGTGATCCATTTCACAAAAATGTTCCAAGATGACTCATAAAGGATTTATAGTTTAGGCCTTCCTGCTTATTAGCTGTTAATTCCTGAATTTTATAGTTTCTTCATCTGTCAAAAGGGTGGAATAATCTATTTTATCTATCTTACAATATCAAATAAGAGAACAGATATAATTGTACTTTGGAGACTGTATACATGCAAATGGAGACATGGTATTATTAGTGGGGGAGAGTAAGAGCAACTTCCCCTTGTGAAGAGACAAGTTGCTGTGAACTAGTTCCCAGAGGAAAATTGTTCCTCTCATCACTGATGGAGTCACTGTATACTGCCACTTAAGTAAACATGCAGAGTAGTTTGTATTTATTCATCCATATGTGCAGACATTCAAAGATGTTTCATTTCAGTTCAGTCGCTCAGATGGGTCCAACTCTTTGAAACCCCATGGATTGCAGCACGCCAGGCTTCCCTGTCCATCACCAACTCCTGGAGCTTACTCAAATTCATGTCCATCAAGTTGGTGATGCCATCCAACCATCTCATCCTCTGTCATCCCTTTCTCCCGCCTTCAGTCTTTCCCAGTACCAGGGTCTTTTCCAATGAGTCAGTTTTTCGCATCAGGTGGCCAAAGTATTGGAGTTTCAGCTTCAACATCAGTCCTTCCAATGAATATTCAGGACTGATTTCCTTTAGGATTGACTGGTTGGGTCTCCTTGCAGTACAAGTGACTCAAGAGTCTTCTCTAACACCACAGTTCAAAAGCATCAATTCTTTGGCGCTCAGCTTTCTTTATAGTCCCAACTCTCACATCCATACATGACTAGTGGAAAAACCATAGCTTTGACTAGACAGACCTTTGTTGGCAAAGTAATGTCTTTGCTTTTTAATGTGCTATCCAGGTTGATCATAGCTTTTCTTCCACAGAGCAAACGTCTTTTAATTTTGTGGCTGCAGTCACCATCTGCAGTCATTTTGGAGCCCTCCCAAAATAAAGTCACTGTTTCCATTGTTTTCCCATCTATTTGCCATGAAGTGATGGGACCAGATGCCATGATCTTAGTTTTCTAAATGTTGAGTTTTAAGCCAAATTAAACTCTTTCACTTTCATCAAGAGGCTTAGTTCTCCTTTGCCTTCTGCCATTAAGGATGGTGTCATCTGCATATCTGAGGTTGTTGATATTTCTCCTGGCAATCTCGATTCCAGCTTGTGCTTCATTCAGCCCAGCATTTCACATGATGTACTCTGCATATAAGTTAATAAGCAGGGTGACAATATAGAGCCTTGATGTACTCCTTTCCCAATTTGGAACCAGTCTGTTCCATGTCCAGTTCTAACTGTTGCTTCTTGATATGCATACAGATTTCTCTGGAGGCAGGTAAGGTGGTCTGGTATTCCCATCTCTTTAAGAATTTTCCACAGTGTTGTGAGCCACAGTCAAAGGCTTTGGCGTAGTCAATAAAGCAGAAGTAGATGTTTTTCTGGAACTCCCTTGCTTTTTTGATGATTCAGTGGATGTTGGCAATTTGATCTCTGGTTCCTCTGCCTTTTCTAAAACCAGCTTGAACATCTGGAAGTTCATGGTTCACGTATTGCTGAAGCCTGGCTTGGAGAATTTTGAGTATTGCTTTACTAGTGTGTGAGATGAGTGCACTTGTGCGGTTGTTAGAGCATTCTTTGGCATTGCCTTTCTTTGGGATTGGAATGAAAACTGACCTTTTCTAGTCCTGTGGCCACTGCTGAGTTTTCCAAATTTGCTGACATATTGAGTGTAGCACTTTCACAGCGTCATCTTTTAGGATTAGCAGTAGCTCAACTGGAATCCCATCACCTCCACTAGCTTTGTTCCACTTGACTTCACATTCCAGGATGTCTGGCTCTAGGTGAGTGATCACACCATTGTGATTATCTGGGTCATGGAGATCTTTTTTTTTTTTTTGAGATCTTTTTTGTGTAGTTCTTCTGTGTATTGTTGCCACCTCTTCTTAATATCTTCTGCTTCTGTTAGGTCCATGCCATTTCTGTCCTTTATTGTGCCCATCTTTGCATGAAATGTTCCCTTGGTATCTCTAATTTTCTTGAAGAGATCTCTAGTCTTTCCCATTCTATTGTTTTCCTCTATTTCTTTGCATTGATCACTGAGGAAAGCTCTCTTGTCTCTCCTTGCTATTCTTTGGAACTCTGCATTCAAATGGATATATCTTTCCTTTTCTCCTTCATCTTGTTTATTGAGCTCCTACTGTGTGACAAATGCAGATAGGATCAGGCTGAGAAGCCTTCTCCCTTCTCTTAAATGTTATTTTAAAATGCCAACTGTCAGTGAGTCCCACATTTGTATGTGAACGTAGTTCTTTTGATTGCCTTCATATTTGTTGAGTGACTAACAGTTTTTAATAATTGGGATCTTTTGTTTTATGTTTTGTGCTTAAGTGACTGCCCAGAGGCTTGGAATGCCATTGCTAAAGAAATCTGCTGCAGGAGCGATAGAGCACATGACCACAACAGATCCTGCCCCCATAGAGACTTACAGCTAAACATGGTTGAGTCCTGAGACCCCTCAGCAAGGGACTGACCTCCATACCATATTAATACCACACAGACACTTGAGAGAAGAAACTTGACATTTCTTTTCTCTCCCCTGAGTTCTTAAGAAAGGTTGATAATGTGTTTCTTTCATTTAAGAGATATCTGGAAAGTTGGTATGAGCAGTAAACAGTTTAATACAGTGAACCCAGTTGGGAACCAAAATTAGTTCTTTGTGATTGTCCTCCTTTTTATTCCTAAAATCATGGATGATTTAGAAGTCACGAATTTGGAGAGTAATTTTAAAAAGTCAGAAACATCAGTTTGAGCTTGCTTACAGCTGAAATGATTAACAGTCAGTGCAGTTTATGAACTATTTTTTCTTTCTTTCTTTCTTTCTTTCTTTCTTTTTCCGTTAGTTTATGAACTATTATTAGCTTGTACTCAATCCATACTTTTTGGATTTCCATGGTTAACTAAAATATGTTTTATAAGTGTGAAGTTTATTTTTCAAGTGGGTAAAGACAGGCAATCATTTGGTAGTTAGAAACTTCTTCCTTATATTGATCAGAAGACAAAGCAAGGGAAATCTGATATTAGATAGTAGAGTGCTACCATCTATATTAGTACTAGATGGGACACTAGCCTCAGTCTGGTTAATAAATTGTTTAGAGCGCTGCATTTAGTACAAAGATGTGTCAGTTCATCAGTTTTCTTATCAGTTTATAGAAGAGATTTAAAATATAGTACCTGTACCAGGAAGTGGTTCCATAGTTTTCCTTTCATTGGAGGCAATTTCCTTCTGAAATTAAGAGGAGACTCACATTTCTAGTGTCCTCAAAAATGGGCACTTACTAGCATATTTTAGAAGTAATTTAGAGTCTTGTACTGCTCCTGGCCTAACCAGTAATTGCCACTGGCCTGCTATACTGTAGCACTCTTGTACCTGTTTTGCACTTTTGCCGCCCTCCGGTCTATTTTCTATACCATAAACAGTGTGATCCTTTAAAAATATAAATCAGGGCATGCATTGTGCTTATGATAAAATAAAACTCATTGTGGACCTTTTGGATGTTGTCTGCCCACGTCTCATTTCACACCACTCTTCCTTGTTCATTCATGAGCTGTGGAGTGGTTTTCCTCCACTTTGTGGTCTTTCCACATTTTGTTCTCTGCTTTAGAAGGTATCTTGGCATGTATCCTCTCTCCTTCTCAGTTTTTTACCTATGAACTGCGCACACACACATACACACACACATGTGCATACTGTGACACATATATTCTTTATTTTCTCTCTCATTTTTAAGGTATAAATTATATACAGATGCCCAGATCTTAAGTATATAATTTAATGAATTTTTGCATTTATGCATACCCATGTAACCATCACCCAGGTCATGAAACAGAATTATTTCTAGCACCTCAGAGGGCCCCCATTTAGTCCCTCTCATCAGACTGTTACTATGATCTCTTTTTGCTGTAAATTAATTTTGTCTGATTTTGAACTTCATATACATGGAATCTTCAACAGTATGTTCTCTTTAATAGTCTCACTTTTGTTTACTCACTGCCCTGTCTTGTATATTCTTTACCTGTCTTATCTTCTAGGACTCAGCTTTAGTGTCCGCTCCTCAGAGAAGCTTTTTCTGAGCACCTTAGGTACATTCCTGGTCCTCTGGTCCTCTGGGACAGCACCCCATTTATTGCTTTTCATGGTATTGATCACAGCTATGATTATGACTTATTTTCCTGCTTGCCATCTTTCTCACATTAGACTATGGGCTTGGTGAACACAGGACACTGTGTCTTGTTCACTACACTCTGACGGCGTAGCACAGTGCCTGGCACAGTCATAGGCACTCAGTCACACATATTTGTTGACTTAATAAATGAATGAATGAGTGAAGAATGAACCCTGCTTTATTTCCAGACTTGTACTGAAGTAAAAAGAAAAGAAGTCTTGCAACTTTCTAATATTTGACAAAATATTATCTAAGGTAATTCTGAATTTTATTAAGACTTTTCTTTGTGGGCAAGGTTGACTAATTGCCGTTGGTGACAGTACAGAATTGTATACCCAGTAAACATGACTAAATGTGTGAATAGCAATCGTGCGGGGACTGTTTAGAAAT